AAAATTGATGTAAGATAGTGTAGGCCTCATTTCAGTTAATCTACTGCCAAGGCAAGAAGTTTAAAATTGATATGTATCTCTAATAATAACAATGTCTATCCTATGGTTGTCCATTTCTTTTGATTTTTTTGCAGTCAATATAAAAAAACGAAATTTAGAAACATTTAGAACACTGTTTTGTCAAACAGGAAACAGGAATCCATTTGTCCATCTGTGTCTTGTGTCTTCAGTTAATAAATTAATCTCGTCCCTAGAAGTTGGTTGACTACAAGGCCCCTGATCTATACAGTAAATAGCAGGGTCAGTGAGTGAACCGCATCACAAACCCCTAGTCAACCTTGAGGTGCAACCATTTCTTTAAATCTTTTGTGATACAAAGGGAGATATGGAACAATCGTAGAATAAAATGCAAATGAAAGAGAATATGGTATGACTTGAAATCGGCACCTGGCAGGGCTAAGCTCTGAAGTAGAAAGTGGCTTATTAATGTATAAGCCAATCACAGGCAGAGGTGAAATAAAAACTGGCCACAGTCATGCCATAAGGCAAGGTCAAAAGCAGCTGGTTATTACCACAGCTGTATTATTTATAAGACTGATTTTCACACCGAGTTGTCCTCTCTGAGCCACAGCTGGACCCCCCAGACCTCCCACACAGCTGGGGGGAGGTAATGGGCCAATCAGCAAAGTCGTGCAGGGAGTCTGCCAGCTCAGAGAGCATCTCCACCTGCACCAGAGGATTATTCAGCGAAGTTCAAAAGGCAGCAGCAGAGCTGCCAGAGAGAGACACAGGAGAAGAGACACAAAGACACGCACTGAGGACTGGAGGGCTCGCAGATAGTGCTGAGGCGAGCAGAGAGACTTGAAAAGGTTGTGTCGGACACTTTAAGTTGAGTGTTTGCCGTTCTGCAAATAAAGATGCTGAAAAGCAACTCCTTTGTCTCTGGCTGAGTCTGGGAGACCCTGGTGGCATCGACATGTGCCACAGTTACATTGCACAATTTTTCCACAATTTGATCATAATGAGTGCTGGCAGTAGTTGTGAAAGTTCTGACTTTGGTTCTTTCTTCCAATGAAATGTACATACCATACCAGGCAATAGACCATTTGCTATTTGGATCTATTCAGATCTATTTGGCAGATCATGTGTCACTGACTTAGATCCGAAATTGTACATAGCTTTGAACAGCACATCAATGAGCCCCAACATTACAAAAGTGTGAGTTATAAAAAGAATGACATCGCAGATACAAGTTGCTGAAATGAAATTCTTCATAGGGTGTCTGGGTTCAGCTATAGACATAGTGTGAGAGGTTTGGGCATCTTGTGGAGCCATTTGAGGTGGCATCGAATTATTACGCCTCCTGGGTGATTTACATTAGGGGTAGACCTACAGCTGGCTTGACAGGTTATATATTTATATCCCAGTCTGGGAACACTTCAGGATCCCTTGGGAGGAGCTGGAAATTATTAGACTAAACCTTGGTTAAGAAAATTATGTCGAATAACTATCTTCAACTGTGTGTGTTTATATTTTAAAATATATATATTTAGTTACATTTATATATTGCACTTACATGTAGCATTCGTAGTTTAGCTTTTTTGAAGACTAAGGGCCTGATCTACTAAGATCCCAAATAAAGAGTGCTAAAGTGTGTGTGCATTATAACAGATTGCTCGTTTGAGTGGTGGGCGTTTTGCAGGTGATCTAATAGAAATAATTGCGTAAATGATAACAGGTGAGATCAGGCCGTAATTGTATTTACATGATTCTTGTTGTTCTGGGTTTGTTCCCTCATGGTTGATGCACTTATTGTAAGTTGCTTTGGATAAAAGAGCTAAATGAAATATACAGTAGCTGGCTTTGAGAATCTGTCGGACTGTACAATATCAGTTTTGAGCTGTGTAAGTTTATGAACATTGAATTCCTAGTGAATAGTATTTATATAGAATTTTTCTTGACTTTTCCACAACTCAAAGTGCTTTAGGTTTTAAGTCACTTGTGATTCTTTATCTACTGTTGGCATTACAGCTGGTGTAATGCAATGCAATTTGGGGTTCAGTATCTTGCCCAATGCACTTGGACGACCCTCTATACCTGAGCCTGATCTAAAATATCTGATCTAATCTAATCTGATCTAAAAGTTTGATGCCATCAGAATCATGATCCTTTTGGTCTCCAAAGCACAACAGATCTGTTACAATTAACACGTTTCTTCAAGGACAGCTCAGATTCACATAGGATAAAATACTTTTAGAAGTTCCTACTTCTACAAGACAACTATGATTTGGATGTACAGAAGTTGAACAGATGTTCTTGCATGAGGCCCAATGTGTTGTGACTCATTGGTTCCTGCATCCTTCATTAAAACTGCTCAGAAGTGAATGTCTATCTCCTTTCCTCCCCCTCTGCTGCTGTGTCTTTGTAAAGTCCTCTGTTTTGGGGTAGAGGGCCGCAGCCACAGATAAGGCTTTCAGATAAGGAGGGGGTGGAGATAGCCATCCTGCCGCCTACGTTGCTCTGCAGCAACAGCTAGCTGAACCGTTATCGGATGACACAGGCCTCCATCCTTCAATCTCCATCCTTTTCTGTTCAGCTGTGGGGCAGCTTTTCTCCTCTGCCATTTCTCCCTCTCCCTCATTTGACCCACTCAGTCTTACTGTGTCCCTCTCTTCCATCATCCAATCTCCAGAATGCCAGTGTAGATCCATATCGTGTGTGTGTGTGTGAGTGTGTGTGTGTGTGTGTCAGTCAACAGTGTGGAGAATAATTATGATAAGGCAAAAGATTTAGACTAGATTGCTGTGCATAGTGAAAGCTATCTGAAATGGGCAACAATGTAGCTGACCTTAAGGGGGCTAGGAATCTTTGAGGGGATTCACTTATTGGCGTGTGTGTGTGTGTTATTGATGTAGTTATTGATGTAACGTTACGGAGTGTGGAGAATATCAAGCTCAAACACACACACACATAATGTGAACCTACCTCTATGTCGGTTGGTGGTTTTGTCAAACATTAGCATGGCGTCTTCAACCTGAAAGATGACATGAAAATATTTTAAACATCAGTTGTGACACAAATGTGCACACAGAATCAAACAGAAAATATATACAGCACCTTCAAGGACAGAAAACATGAGTAAATGGCCAATCATAGACAGAAACCAGTTGTGTATTAAAGGGATAGTTAACTGAAAATGTTTAATTCACTCATATCTACTCAACACTATGCCAATGGAGGGGCAGGTGTCATCCAGGTATCCACAAGCCCCGACATTTATATTCAACTTGAAACTAGGTCATTCACACCATGTTTTTGGACTAAACGTCCTCTCATCTCTTCCTACAAGGTGCATTCACGGACCCTCGGACACACCATTGTGACTTTTAGGCATTTAGGCGTCACACCTGCTGAAAATGTTTGCCTCTTCATACAAAGAGCATCCATGCATAATTGCAGATTATTTTTTGCCTGTTATTCATTTATTTATTCAATTTGATCATTTGAGTTACCCTATTTGATTAGACTGTGTTGATTGTGTTAACAAAAAACAAAAAATAAGTTAAATATATCCTACTGTGTTTTTTCTTAAATTTATGAATAATTTTGGCAATGGGTGCCCTTTTTTTGGCTTGAGCGCCTGCCCATTTGCAACAAATGGGTAAATCATGACATAGTGTTACTGACACTCACATATGTTTATGGTTATGGAACCTCCAGTGTGCAATAATGCCATGTTGTGACTTCATGATGTGCACCATCTATGAGGCCACATCAAATCAGACATCTCAACCTCCAGGGTGAAGATTTTCTTACTTTTTAGTGTTCCAAGACAGGACATACTCTGTAAACAATATACATGTTGTGACAAAAACAATTTTCCCTAAATTTGTCATATTTTGATTTTAGACATTGGATCTCTGACAGATCATATTATGGAATTATAAGATTAAATTAAATCAAAATACAACTCTGCTCAATGGTCCAGCCTGATACAAAACAACAAACTTCTCATTTCTTTCCATTATAGAACAGATCACCAATACAGTTTTTATCTCACTGTCCCATAAAATAGGAATCCCCCTGTGTATTTTATCTGAGGATGGGTCACACCACATTGATAACTCACACACAATATAAGCATTCATAATGTAAGTTTATGTTAGCGTTAGGTGCTGTGCTATCTGTGTGCTATTAGCTATAACCCTGCTGGATTCTTTGAACACCCAAGATCATGTATTGTTCAAGTCCACATTCGAGCACATGCACAGACATGGTGAACATCCTATCTCTCAGATAACATAGCGTACTGCACACTCACCTTGCACATGTACAAAATACAAGGTAGACAATAAAGACTGTGTAAAGTAAATATGTTGCAACAAAAGCAACGGTTTAATAATTCAAGCGTAATCCAAACTTAAAATTCATGAACTGTACCCTATCCACCTTCTTGTCATGAAGCAGTTTACCTGCTGAATATGTGATAGAGCTGCAGATCCAGACAGCAAGGAGGAAAAGAGATGATAGGCAGAGAGACAATATGAGTCTGTGTCATTATGCAGACAAAGTAATGTTTCTCAGCTACTGTATGTTTTATCAGCAATGATTAAATCAGGGGCTGTTGGCTGCTGAATGCCTTTGTGAGAAAAAACAAGAAATCACTGTAGCTAAAAGGTTTTATTTGAAGAGGACTCATTTATTCAAACATTATTTCAAAGAGGCCTATTCCTGAAAACACTCCCATCCGGAGTGTGACAAGAAGTTAAACAAGATTTGTGGACATCAAACAGATGTTGCAGAAAGCTTGAATGGGATACTGTATGGGAGCACATGGTAGCTTTGGGGAACACAACATTAGTGAAACAGCAAGAACTCTGACAATAGAGTGAAGATCCCTCAAGAAGCCAAAGGAAATAATTCTTGTCAAAGAGCTTTTGAAATTTAAAGGACCTGTTTGGAAACAACATCAGTAAGCACCAACAGTCAAAGGTCAGTGAGAAGGTGTCAGTGGATGGCCAGTGAAAGATGAAGGGGGTAATTCACATCTGCCACCAGAGACATCCCCACCCAAACACCTGTTAGTACCTGAGTTATTAATAATGAATGAGGCTAAGTTAAAACTATGTGGGTGGACCATTACCACACCCATGAGTATCAGAAATGACTGAACCATGAATTCAGCTGTATTTACATGTAAAAGGATCGCTCAGAGAGCAGGTTAGAAGCAACACAGCACGTTTCTCTCTCACTCACTAACTCATTCAGTGTACTTGCAAGTACTTGAAAGGCAGTGATTCTACCAGACTCTACCTGTCACAGGAGCAAAGTCACAGTGCATGCAGCCACAAAAAATAACCAGCTTCTGAATCATAGCTTGGGCTGGGCGATAACAAAGATAGAGATATTTATCGTGATATATAGAGATATAGAAATATAAGACATGGTCTATATGATGCAGCTAGAACTCATCCAATCCATGTTTTGACAGACAATACAAACAGCCAATGATAATGAGAATAGCGCCACTTGTCTCTGGCAAAGCTGGTGTCATAGCTGGGGTTTCAGATGTGTCATTTCGACTGGAGAAATGAACACTCTCCATTCCACTGAATTACAATTAAAATTACAAATTCTAACTCATATTTCACTTTTACTTCAGGCAAATGACGCATTGTCATAAGCTGTTGCCCAATGTCCCATCACTAATGCCATGTGAGGATGGACCGAATGTGGAAGGGAGCCAGACACGTACTTTTGGCTCTGAAGGCTCGACACCACTGTTATCTACTGGTTGTCTTGGGAATCTTTGCTGAGTAACAATAACAGCTCATATTCCCAGAGACTGATGCCAAATCTTTCAGTGTGTGTGTAAAGGCAGAACAAACAAGCTTTATTACTTGAAGTGTGAATACAACAGGTAGAGCTGTGATGAAAAAGACCACAGGGGATGTGCTGTTCCAGCTCTCAGACTGAGACGAAACGCAGAAGGATGCAGGGTGAGGGACGATTTGTTGACAGTAGAAAGATGCACCATATTGATTCAGCTCTCTACTCCTCTCCCTCCCTCTGTCTGTTTTTTTTTTGTTACTGTTATTTGAAAGATGTTTTATCATGTGTGATTATCAAAAGGCTCTAATTTCATGGGTGGCCTGTCTGAAGAAGGAGAAACAGTGGTGTCAGCTCATCCACTGTTTTTCCACTCATCATGTTGCCAATCTTTGGGAAAGATGACAAAGACAATAATGAAAAAAAAAAACAATGAATAAAGTGATGGAGGCAGAGAGTGTCCCTGAATGTGAGCTACAAGTAATAACACGGATCCACCATTCTGAATAACAACAGCATTCCCTGGATATGTCAGCTTCCAGTATAGGGGCTATTAGCCAATACGAAATAAAGAGATAAGTGTGCAGCAGATGTGGAAAGTCTACTGAGCCTGTGAAAAACATATATCTATATCTTCACTGTCCATGCCTCGGCTTACTGCTTTATCCCGATCTACCTCTAAAAAGGTGCACAGAGTCCTTTTTTCAAAATCTCATCTTTATTTCAACCAAGAAGAGCGATACAGAGAGACCAGTTCTCATGCAATCATTATTATCATATTATCACACATCCAGATCAACCAGTAGCAGCAGACTTCTTTGAAACACAAATGTAAAATGCGTAAAGCTTGCTATTATATCCTTACACACACACAGATGAAACTTGAAATAACATATATGACGTCATAATGTTTCACAGTATCCTTATTAAAAGGAAAATTAAAAAAAAAAACTGATATGAATTCAATAGGTTATAAAAGAAAAGGCAACATTTCTTTTTGTAAAAAGAAACATTACAATAAATTACGTTATTAACAGATTATCTGTAAGTATAATTATATTTGTCATTCCTTTTTTATGAGCTAATCCAAAATGACAAAGAGTTGGTCTGTTCTAATCGCCTTTCATGTTCAAAAATGTTTCTGATATTGAAAAAAAAGACAGGTGAGCAATTTGATGTTTCAGAAAGTTTTAGACTTTATAACTTTCTATTCATAAATTGCAGGTGATTGATACTGTTACTTCCATGGACGACAAACAGGAAACTATCTATTATTTCATATTTAAGAGTATGGGTGTTGACTCTTCATGGAGGACCAGTTGAAACCTGACAGCTGTGCAGCTGCTAACTCCTTTAGACTTGCAGCAGAAAGCAAACCATTCCCTAGGGAAACCTGGCGTATACCAGGTGTCAGTCAACATAATGGCTGTGATGAAAAGTGCAGCAGGTGCACAAGAGAAGCTCTCTGAGATCCGCATCATCAATAATAATAACACACGTTTGAAACCTGAATCACCTTCATCAAAACATTGGTTCTTTGCAGTGAAACATGCAGTTCAATGTAATCGTAATGACATCCCTCCAGCTTCATCACCTTCACTACTGTCTTAGCTTAGGGAGAAGTTATTTTTATATTAAAAGCAACTAAGTGATAGTGCTGCTTCTGATCATGATCAATAAATCAATCAAATTTAGTTTGTAAAACCCATATAAACAAATCACAATTTGTCTCATAGGGCTTGACAAGGTGCGACATCCTCTCAGAGTTACTTCAGAATGATTCCTTGTCATTAGTGAGTCCTCCTCAAACAGTTGTGACTGGTCTGTCTGCAATAAATATTTTATGGTCAATGTTTTTGATAAAATGAGCTTGAATTTGCTTGATTACTGTTGAGGTTTATATACACATTTGAATGATTTACTTAACTGGTATTATTTTAACATACATTACATGCTGGTTATTTCCTGTAGTCTGTGAAACTTGAGCAGCATAATTGCATCTATCCCACATTTACAGTGTCATTCAAAAGAACATGAATGAATGGTCTGTATTTCTGTAAAGCGTTTCTAGTCTTGACAACCACTTATGGACCTTTACGATACAGTTTTACCATCCACCCATCATTGCCATTTATATTTTCATCAGTTATTCCCCAGCGTCAGGGCATTACACTTTTTATGAAAATAGCCACTTTCATCATAACA